AATTTTAATGCTTTGTGATGCTTTATTATTATAATATCTTAAACATAAACAAAACAACGTGTTTTAATCATTTTCTAACAACAATTGAACCTTTATTTGAAGAAAAAAAAGCGTTTTTGAATAAAAATCAAAAATTAAACGGACTTATCACTTCAAAGTGCATAGTTGGCTATGAAACCATGACCAACAATGCTGTTGTTTTCATTGTTTTGAGAAATTTGACAGATCGAAACACGTTTTAAAGTTGTGCTGCGTTTATTTCACCTATAAAAGTATGGCTGTTAATCCCGAAATAGCGGCTGCTATTGTTGCGTTGCTTCAAGACGGAAGAAGTGAGCGATATGTTGCCCAACAGTATCACATATCCAATAGCACTGTGCACCGTATTTTTACACGTTTTTTGGAAACTGGAGCTTACACCAGACGACTTGGAACTGGTCCCCAACGAAGAACTAGCGCTCATGATGATCGCTTTTTCATCTTACAAAGTCTGCGAAATCGTCATGCTACGGCTATTGAAATCAGAAATCGACTTCATCACGTCCGGCAAACCAACATAAGCGAACGGACAGTTAGACGAAGACTCGGAGAAGCCAATCTTACCAGTCGTAGACCTGCAACAGGCCCAGAGCTTTTTAGGCATCATCGTATTACGCGATTTCAGTTAGCCAGAAATCATGAGCACTGGGGTGAAAATGAATGGGGGCGTGTTTTGTTTACGGATGAGTCCAGATTTAGCCTGCGGTCTCCATATGGTCGTGAGAGAGTATGGCGAAGACCACAAGAGCGTTTCGCAGAATGTACCTTCAGTCCTAGGGTAGGTTACCAAGGAGGCTCAGTTATGGTGTGGGCCGGAATTTCTATGGAGGCACACACAGAATTGTACATCATTCCGAGAGGCTCCTTAACTGCTGCCAGGTACATTGATGAAATTCTCCAAGATTTTGTTGTCCCTTATGTTGACTTTATTGGAAATGACTTTCTTCTAATGCATGATAATGCCAGACCTCACATCGCGAGAATCACTCAACAGTACTTAAACAATGTAAACATTCCTGTAATGGAGTGACCAGCGTTAAGCCCGGATGCGAACCCAATTGAACATGTTTGGGACATGCTTGGGCGAAGGATGCGAAGTCGTGTTCCTGCTCCTTTAACTTTAAATCAGTTGCAACAAGCTCTTTTAGAGGAATGGGAACATATTCCTCAAGAGGACATTCGCCACTTAATTTTAGGCATGCCAAGGAGGATGCAGGCTATTATTCGAGCACGTGGGGGCAACACACGTTATTAAAAATGCGGCTCCCTAGTTTTTGCTAGCAAGTCGTTTCAGTTTTGATTAATTTAAGGTCATTTAGCAACAACACCAATTTGTGCTTTTTCGTCTTCGTTTTTTAAATTGTTACAAAACCCTTTTTTTCTTCAAATAAAGGTTCAATTGTTGTTAGAAAATACTTAATACATGTTGTTTTGTTTATGTTTAAGATATTATAATAATAAAACATCACAAAGCATTAAAATTTTAAGTTTGTTTAAAAAAATTCAACTGCTCCGTTTTTCGTGCCGGTGAGTGTATATAGTTATATAGATTGCTCAAAGCTTGTCGTTTACGAGCGGCCATATTGCCTGGCAAATATTTATTAATTTGAATCGGTTTAGCAAAAATGTGTTTTAAAACCAATTTTTAGCCTTTAGATATTAAAAAAAAATAATTGCTTACATTTTTACTTCAAGGCATACGCTTACGTTTATTTTGAAAAATATGGATAATCAATCTATGTAACTATCTATTTCATTGACCTTGTCAAATCACCAGGTCTACAGGGTTGCCATATAATTTTGCAATATCATAACCCGTCAAACAATAGCTGCCGGTGGGAAGGTCTGGTATATCTAAGAAGGTAGCGACATAATCTTGCATCTTGGACGCTTTTTTCATTCGAAATGGTACTCGTCAAGCCTGTCAATTTATAAAAAAAATGTATAAGCGGTTTTTTTAAATAATATTTTTATTGTGTTTGATATAAAATATTTAATTATTCATGATTTTACGTATTGTAGACAGAATACATCGTATGTCGCAACCCTTGTTGGGTGTGTTAAGTGAGCAGTCGGACCAATCGAAAACATCTAGCGAAAAATAAAACCGACCAACATGATTAGTCATAACTATTCAGCTGCATTAGGAGTCTCATCTTTCAATATGGTACGTGTTGAGACGTCTATCTTCGTTCCACAGAATGCGATTTGTATGTAATGTCTCTTTCTATTCGTTACGTATTGAATAACATAAGAATCCCTGTCCTGATCGGCCAGGATCAACCAGAACTGCTGAGAAATTTTGTTTGACTCTGGTAGTTAAAAAACAATCTTCTACTATTTAATCAGTGAGTTGAGCGTTTTAAGATTTTCCTGTTGGGAAAACTGAGCACTGTTGTAGTGTTGCAAACACTTTGAGAGGGCGAGAAGCAAATAACTACTCGTATTACTAAAAATAAATTTAATACACCAATCTGGGAATAACTTAACGTTTTTTTTTTTAAACAGATTAAAAGTCCGCATGGCAAGAACAGGTGCCTGGTGACTAGTCTTGTATTTTACTGTTCTGATCATGTAGGGAAGATAGGAGAGCATTCAGTTACTCATAATATTTCAAAAATCATTTAAATTTCCCTGATTAATCTATTAATTCAGTGTTGTCAACATAATAATCCACAACTTGAAGTGTGCTTGACTGGTGATTAGTGGAGGATCCGAATTTTATAAATTTAACAAGAAAAACGAGCTCTAAGGTAAGAAATTTTATAACAGTTGCATTCCTTGAAATCTGCATTTAATGGACAGTATTGAAAAACTTTATTATTGAAAATTTGTGCTTAGATATTGCAAATATTTAACGGATATCGATTTCTAACCTAAAAAAAGTCGTTTTTAAAATGGCAACATTTTAAATTTTTTTGGCAGCTGGGGAGCATTCGTCCAGACATACCTGGGGTGCATTCGGCAGGTGTACAAATGCTTCCCGGATTTTTAATTTTTCAGATGCCACGAAAACGTATTTTTAAAACTGAGAGAAATTCAATTGATGAAGAAGCTGTTAAACGGGTCATTATATGCTATTTTGATGGTACCTGCTCCGAAAGAGAAACTGCAAGGGCAAATAATATCAAAAGAACCACCCTTCAAAGTCGAGTGAAGAAAATTTAATCAAAAAAAACTAAGGAAGAATATTTAAGGCAACAGTTACAGAACCAAGATGACTCAAGAAACGACAGTGAACCAGTTGACGATTCACCAAAATACTCCAGTAAATATAGCAATAGAAAGTTTTCACCAGGAAGAAAAAAAGTTGGAAAAATATATTAAAAAATGTTCAGATATTAACTATGGGCTGACCTACGTTCAGGTCCAAAAATTAGCTTACGACTGTGCTAGTGCTCTACCACATCGCCAGGTTCCCAGGGAATGGCACAAATCAAAACAGACTAAGGATGAATGGAGAGGGGTCTAAGTCGCTTTCTTTAAGAAAACCGGAAAGCATGAGCCTAAGTCACAGTACGGCTTTTCATAAGTTTAAGGTTCAACAATTTTTTGATAACCTTAAGAAGGTGTATGACTTATAAATTTCCTGCTGAGCGAATATAGAACCTTGATGAAACAGGAGTAACAACAGTAATGAAACTATAAAAAGTTGTAACTACCGGTAAAAAGCAGGTATCCCAAGCGCTATCAGCAGAAAGGGGGAGCTAGTGACCTTCTTTGGTATTGTTAATGCTGCAGGCCAAAGCATTCCACCTGTGTATGTTTTCCCTAGGATAAGAAATATTGACGACTTCATGCATAACGCCCCAATTTCAAGTTTAGCTCTTGGAAATAAAAGTGTGTTAAAGCATATAGCATATAGCAACTCATACAGATTGCACTGATAGCTAACCCTATTTTGCTACTTATTGACAATCATAAGTCACATGTGAATCTTGCAAGTGTTAAGTTTTGCCAAGAAAATGGGATAGTTCTTTTAAGTTTTTCGCCGCACATAACTCACAGGATGCAGCCTTTAGACGTTGCGGTTTATGGGCCATTCAAGCAGTTCTGTAATGTAGCATTCAATGACTGGGTTTGATGTCATCCAGGAAAGACTATAAGTGTGAGGAATATTGTTGAACTAACTAATTACGCTTATTTAAGAACTTTTACGGCCAGCAACATAATTAGTGGTTTAAAAAAAACCAGGTATGTGGCCATTTATTAGACTGGCATTCAGGGGGTGAATTCGGGCTGCGCACTCCAGAGTGGAGTGAAGTAAGTAGGCGTAAACGGAGTGCTCCGTAAACGGAGTGCTCATATGGTTTTATTCCTTTTACTCTCAGAGTTCAATGTCAGTTGTCAGTGTGACATACTAATCACATACTTTGATTACTATACGAGGCAAGAGAGAGGTCCGACACGCCCAACATAGGGCGCGGCACATACTTTGATTTTCTTTTACTATACGGAGAACGGTCGCACTGCGCAGCTTTCTGAGTGCCTTTTAAAAGGACATAGAAAACTCCGCCATTTTGAACCCTTATTACGTGTTGCCTACATCTTGGCGCAATATTTTTAATAGGTGCGTTTTAATCATCCGCTTCTGCTTCGGAATTGTTGGTTTTCTTGTTTTAATCTGACAGGTTAAAATGACTAAAACGACAATTCCGGAAGCAGAAGCGGATGATTAAAACGCACCTGATATTTTGCTTGCTGCTGTCAGTGTCAGTGAATATTCAAAATGGCCGCGCCCTATGTTGGGCCTGTAGGACCTCTCTCTTGCCTCGTATAGTAATCAAAGTATGTGGGGCGCGGCCATTTTGAACCCTGTGACACAGTTTACAGCTAAAGAATCAGATCGCTCACTCTGCGTCGGCACTTTGGATCTCAATGTTTCAGTTTATACACTGTGCAACTCGGATAATACAATATATGATAACCTCCTGTAATAAAACAGCAGTCTTCTGCGTATTTTGAATTTGTATCCCTGGAGTGGATGTTATTTTGGAACTTTCAACTGGTCCGAGTGAGCTAACTGATTCTTTAGCAATAAACTGTGACTTCAAAAATAATATTCACTGACACTGACAGCAGCAAGCAAAATATCAGGTGCGTTTTAATCATCCGCTTCTGCTTCCGGAATTGTCGGTTTAGTCGTTTTAACCTGTCAGATTAAAGCAAGAAAACTGACAATTCCGAAGCAGAAGCGGATGATTAAAACGCACCTATTAAAAATATTGCGCCAAGATGTAGGCAACACGTAATTAGGGGGATCAAAATGGCGGAGTTTTCTATCTTCTTTTAAAAGGCACTCAGAAAGCTGCGCAGTGCGACCATTCTCCGTATAGTAAAAGAAAATCAAAGTATGTGATTTCGAACACATACTTTGATTTTCTTTTACTATACGGAGAATGGTCGCACTGCGCAGCTTTCTGAGTGCCTTTTAAAAGGAGATAGAAAACTCCGCCATTTTGATCCCTTATTACGTGTTGCCTACATCTTGGCGCAATATTTTTAATAGGTGCGTTTTAATCATCCGCTTCTGCTTCGGAATTGTCGGTTTTCTTATTTTAATCTGACAGGTTAAAACGACTAAACTGACAATTCCGGAAGCAGAAGCGGATGATTAAAACGCACCTGATATTTTGATAACATCCACTCCAGGGATACAAATTCAGGATACGCAGAAGACTGCTGTTTTATTATAGGCGGTTGTCATATATTGTATTATCCGAGTTGCACAGTGACATTGAGATCAAAAGTGCCGACGCAGAGTGAGCGATCTGATTCTTCGGCTGTAAACTGTGTCACAGGGTTCAAAATGGCCGCGCCCTATGTTGGGCGTGTCGGACCTCTCTCTTGCCTCGTATAGTAATCAAAAGTATGTGATTTCGAAGAATCCTGAAATTAAATTTTAAATTTTGAGTTAATGATTGGTGTTATCCTCTAGATGAACTAATCGAAATGGTAGTGGCTGTTTTTGTGTGAAATTTGAGGACAATAATTATATTTTGTAATATTACAATAAGTCGGAGAACGTATTGCATTAGTAACACAAGCCACACGAATAAATTTAACAACACCAGCGTGGCGTTCTTTAATTAACCAAAATGAGATCTAGTCATGTAAGTAACACAAATATTAACCAACTCTTCTCACAAAGTAGGTATTTATTTAATATTTATTGTTTTAGTACAAGAAAATGGCTTCAAAACGTTAGAAAGATTTGATATAGGAAGAAAAATATCAGAGTTCCCATTATTGAGTTTGCACTCAACATTTCTAAATAATTATAAGATACTATTGGTCATTCGTTTGGAAAATAAGAACAAAAATTAAATGTTACAAATAACGATCGTAGAAATTAAACAATTTTTGTCATGAATAGACTGTAACTGTAGTATTCTTTATTATAAATAATTTAGCTTAATTACATTGATTAAATTTATTTAAAAGAACATGAGATTGCAGTCGATATTTATGCAACCTTTATTATCAGGTTTTTAAATTTCCCGCTGCATTGTTTGATATCGATGAAAGCGCCACATAGTGGGTCAGATGTTAACTGCGTAAAAGTTGGTCGTTGTTAAGCATTGTCTTCTTATGAGCGTTTCCTATCTTTATCTCCCTTATCTCTGCTTAAAACCTAATAGTACTTATCAGTAACAATCGTATAAGTTTCTTCCATATTAATGGTATGAACGGGAACCAAATAAAAAGCATTTTTACTTAAGAATCAGTCACAATTATCTTATTATCGATTTAAATCACCTTATGCGCATGCCTGATCCACACTCCACTCCACGATCTCCGAACGGTCAAGAAGGAACTTTTATTTTAACTTTTTCCGTTCCCGAACGCCTTAGGTACTTTATTAAATTTTTCAGTTCTGATCAGACCAATCAACTTAACCGTTGATTTAACGCAGCTTTCAAAGTTAAAATGAAGATAATAAGTCTACTGTCATTGGAACACAAATTACGTCATAACAAACTATTTTAGCGCATTCTCGAGCATCTCTATTCACTCATGGGATTAGTTGACACGGCATCGTGGCTCTATCGAAATTATTCCGGATTTTAATAGAACACGTTCCTATGAGAGCGTTGATTGATCATCGTTTTGATAATGTTTCCTGGTATTCACCGTGCCTAATATTCCGTTCTACGTTTACCCACACGTACAATACTTTCAAGTTTCACTATCACCAATGAATATTCCGCATGTTCGGCAAGTATGCCTGGCGATTTTCGTGTATCTTAGCCACATCGGTAACCAACACATGCAAAATAAAGTTAACGCCATAACCAATAGTATCGTTTTCGTGGTGGGGATGAACTCCACGCGGGTGGCTCCGGCATTTCGGCAACTCGGGCAGGTGATGTAAATGGGTTCCGGTCCGACATTGTAGCTGTGGAAGGGTTTTCGTCGAATTTTCGGTTTAATTTTAACAAATTTGAGTTCACCTTGATTGGATGTACCTGAAAAAATCTATAATATGAATGAAGAGTAATACCTTCAGATTGTTTATTTAACGTGTAATCCACAAAAAATGTTTCTAAAGTAAGCCATAATGACTAAGACAGATACGAGTCACTATTGTTATATAGACACGCCTCTGAAAACACTATATTAGTGATGACGTAATTTATTTTCATTATAATATTAATTTAAATATTAAAAATAATGTGGTTACATATCTTTAAACTATTTTTTTCTAATTTTGACATATACAGTGACATTTTTGGAAATGGCAGCAATTGTCACAATGATCTACTTTATTATGAAACTAGTAACGAAATAGCTATTTATGCAATCAGTTACTTCATGTCTTATGCAACGAGTGAATATTTGCGGGACGAGCAGAGCGAGGTCCTGCAACTGGAACGAGCTACATAAATTGGCATTTCGTAACGTGTTACATACAATATTTTTTCTAATTTTAACTAGATTCAACTATACTGTTTTTAAACTAAGAGGAGCGATTTAAATTTAAGTTGGCAATTCTGTAGCCTTCTGATTGGTCAGATTACAGTCAGTTTCACACATTACTTTTTAGCATGAACATTAGCTAATAATTGATATTGTTGACAGTTCTGACATTTTATAATTTGATATCTCATCCATTACGTTTTTTACTTTATTTCGTAAATAATAGTTCTTCTGTAAGCAATTGAAAATCTACAATTATGGATCCTTCTACACTGAGTACTATTAAAGGTAGCAATTCCTGAAAAGCCTTACAAGAAAGGGAAGACACCTTATTATTTTACATGCTGATTCTGAAGGTTTTGTAGAAAATGCATTATTGGTTTTTGAAGGTAAAAAGATGGGAGATTACCATGAAGAGATGAATTCCGAAGTATTTTAGAAAAAAATAATTTTATTACTGATTTTTTAAAACTAAAAATTGATGAATTTCCAACCAAAATGATTAAAATGTAACTAAATATTTAAGCAAATTTTATTTATTAGAATAGAATAAACCTATTTACAAAATTGTTATAACATTTAAAACATCATCTACTACTTTAGGGATAATCTTAATTTGGCACAATGAGTTAACATTACTTTCACAAAAAATATTTTAAAAATACTTAAAATTAATACATAGGTATGTATGAATAGTTCACTTTAAAAAATATATGTTGACATGTAGTGTTATGAAAATGTTGGTTCCAGTTTTCAAAACAAATTCTGACTCATAGGCCTGTAAACTTTTGAATGCCTTTATTTGCCCTCTAGCGCATTAACCATGGGTTAACACTAAATAAGCCATAATATCCACATTACTCATAGAAGAGATACCAGTTACTCTGTGATCCACTTGACATTCACTGATTAACTTTTACTTTTTAAACCTATAACAAATTATGCTTAAAAATGTAAACAGATCTTTATATTTTATACTAACCTGGCTACATCTGGATATTCCATTAACAATTTTTTTAAATATTTAATATCCATTTTAAAAAGATCGAAAGTTATTCTCAAAAAGTCGATTTCAAAAGCAAGAAAAAAGTATTTCTGACATCAATCAACAACCATATTGACTTTAATTTGACAGTGACATTTCGTTTTAGACACACACTTCCTGATCACAATAATGTGAAATTTGCGACCGTTGTCTGGGACCAATTAAAAAATTACTTCTATGACATTTATTCGTTTCTTAACCGCTCATTGGCCGTTCGCCGACTAAGGCCGATAAAGATAATTATTTCATAAATTTTGAACACGACTATATTTCGAAACTCGCTCTTAGTAACAAATCTAGTTACTTTTCCCTGTGTAAATGCGTCTTTTCAATTCGCTCCTCCTAGTTTAAAAACAGAGTATAGATTACTTATAATATTGTGTTTTTTTTTGGTAAAACATTACTGACATCTAGGCAACCAATATTACTTAAAGTATAAGTTTAAAAAAAGTGGGTTATTTTGTCGTGTATTGTTTTAATTATTTTGGGCTGATTTAGAATGGAAAATAAGGACCAAAACAGGGGGTGGGTGACTCAGTGATAGAGTCTTTGCCTGCGGATCCAAGGGTCCCAGGTTGGAATCCCACCGTTAGCCAGGATTTTTTCATTTAATTTAATTATTTAAAATTAATTCTGATGCCTTGGCAGGATTCCTTACTCGACCATTCACTGTTGGGTTCTAATTAACAGTGCTGTTCCTAAAGTGGCGCTGGGAAATACTAACAAAGCCTACACACAACACGAGGCGAAATAACCTTAGCAGTTGAAGCCAATGACAAAAAAAGGACCAAAACAACATTAGTACTAGGTTTAACCAAATTCTATTTTTAATAGGTTGGCCTGATCTTCTCTGATATAAACTTTTAATACCCAATATTGTATATTATATTGATTATAAAACAAAAAAAAAGGTTTATTTTTATTTATGTTTTCAGAACTGGTGACACAATACATTTTTCGTAACCAATTTCATAATGTTATTTCATTACTTTTTAAAATTAATTTAATTATTTTAATACAAAATGTTCGATTCAATTTATCAGTCACATCACCCTGTATATTAATTTTGATATAAAAATGTATCTAGGCCCCTTTCCGAAATATATTTTCGTGTTGGTGAGGATGTCCAGAATGCATCTAACGTTGAGCTAGTTTGAAACGCATAATTCAGTTAATATCAGTACCAGTTCCGAGGTAAATCAAAAATCAAGATCAGTCAGCCGATACGTCGTAAACTTCTCGATAGAGGAATAAATTGTATTGAAGGTATTATTGCAGTCAGAGTATATCGAAAAAAACTGGCGTCCGAGGATTCTCCGATTGTGGGGCGTCAAAAGTAAGTATTAATTTCTTTGAGGTAATCTTACATCTTACAACTTTATTTTGACACTTGCTGGGAGTACAAAAAATGTCACTGTATATGTCTTAATTTAGAATAAATTCATTATATCACCAGTTGCGAAAAGAAAACACAAAAATAAACCTTAAATTTTGGTTTTAAAAACAATAAATATATATATATATATATATATATATATATATATATATATATATATATATATATATATATATATATATATATATATATATATATATATATATATATATATATATATATATATTATTTTTGAAAGTTTATATCAAAGAAGAGCAGGTTGACTCGTTATAATCCCAGTTAACCACAAATGGTTGGCATTCGCTCGGCCTGACAGCGGCATGTACGGGAAATCGAGTACTTGGATTGCCGTTATCGGGGTTGCTTCTGAGCCGGGAGGACCATATCATTTGACGTAATTATGAAGTAAAAACCGTATATGGTCCATATTTGGCTTTCCAGATATGGGAGGCATCCTTACGGGTCGAACGCGGTGAACATTTGGCTAGCTGGGCGGGAGTCAACCTTTTACGGGCCGAACTACATATATGAATGCGGCTACAATATAGTGGACTGCCGACATTCGGCTGGGCGAACATCTATATGCCGAAGTTGAACCCGTATATCGGGCCAAGTCCGGTATCAGGCAAGCGTCCTTTGGCCCAGTTACGCTACCGAATAACTGAGTTTATTGGGATAGAATTTGGTTAAATCTACAACCTAAAAGTAATGTTATTTTGGTCCTTATTTTCCATTCTAAATTGGCATAAAATAATTAAAACACCAATACACGACAAAATAATCCACTTTCTAGAAAACTAAATAACTTTTAAAGCAATATAAACACTACAAGTCGTTGAGCATCACATACTTTGATTACTATACGAGGCAAGAGAGAGGTCCGACACGCCCAACATAGGGCGCGGCCATTTTGATCCCGGTGACACAGTTTACAGCTAAAGAATCAGATCGCTCACTCTGCGTCGGCACTTTTGATCTCAATGTTTCAGTTTATACACTTTGCAACTCGGATAATACAATATATGACAACCGCCTATAATAAAACAGCAGTCTTCTGCGTATCCTGAATTTTTATCCCTGAAGTGGATGTTATTTTGGAACTTTCAACTGGTCCGAGTGAGCTAACTGATTCTTTAGCAATAAACTGTTACTTCAAAAATAATATTCACTGACACTGACAGCAGCAAGCAAAATATCAGGTGCGTTTTAATCATCCGCTTCTGCTTCCGGAATTGTCGGTTTAGTCGTTTTAACCTGTCAGATTAAAACAAGAAAACCGACAATTCCGAAGCAGAAGCGGATGATTAAAACGCACCTATTAAAAATATTGCGCCAAGATGTAGGCAACACGTAATAAGGGTTCAAAATGGCGGAGTTTTTTTATCTTCTTTTAAAAGGCACTCAGAAAGCTGCGCAGTGCGACCATTCTCCGTATAGTAAAAGAAAATCAAAGTATGTGTTGAGCATTAAATTAATGAATTTCTGTTTGTCAATAAATTGAATTAAGTCATACTTATGCAACTAACAATACATGAAAGTAATATTGGTTGCCTAGATTTTTTACCAAAACAATTAGACTAGGTAATTAGTGTAAACCAAAACACAATTTTTCAAATAGTTACTCGTTACATAAAATAAGGCAAAACGTAATGTCAATTTGAATGACGGAATGGTTTGTTTTTATCTTAGAACATATATAGTCAGGAAGGAGCATGCCATGTCCGCGTTAATCTAAACAATCTGACGCAAGTGGTAGCCATGTTGTACTATAATAATAATAATAATAATAATAATATTTATTGACCTTTGAAGCCATATCTACAAAATATGAATAAGGTAAGTCATACATAAATAAATAAATAAAATGAACAAAGTAACAATGCAACACAGTACAATATAAAAATCTATAAAAATCTCATATATCAGCTAAGCAACCGTATACTGTAGGAACTCATCTAATGAATAGAAAACATTCACTGTTAATAGCTGCTTAAGATCTTTCTGGAAGCCTTGTAGGGTTTGATTATTTTTTATGTTTGATGGCAGTTTGTTAAAGAGGTAAGAACCGGCGTAGTATGGTGATTTTTTGTAGCTGGTATGGTAATGTTGTTTTAAATATATATTTTCAGCATTTCTGGTATTATACCCGTGTATATCTTTTTTCATTATGAGATTTCTATGGATGACTCATCATCATATGATAAATGGTTTCTAAAATTGGTTTATATTTTAGTGATTAAAATTTGTTAATAATTTGGATGTTTTATGTGTTAATTTAAAATTTTATCCAGCGTATGTTTTGTAGACATTTTGAAAAAGTGTTTAGTGTTTTAGTATTTATTTAGTTTTTTTTTTAATTTGGTGTCATCGGCATCGACTACTAAGGCCATTAGCCTCGTGTTCTATGTAGGCTTTGTTACTGTTTCCCAGCACCACTTTAGGAACTGCACTGTTAATTAGAACCCAACAGTGAATGGTCGAGTGGGGAATCCTACCAAGGCATCAGAATTAATTTTAAATAAATAAATTAAATAAAAAAAATCCCGGCCAACGATGGGATTCGAACATGGGATCCTTGGATCCACAGGCAATATGGTTAGTTGTTCGTGTTGTGGATATAGGAGCACAGCTAAAAGTAGAAAGGAAAAATCTACATTTCATAAGCAAGTTTTTTGTTCTCTCAATTTTCAACCACATTAAAGATTTTTAAAATTTTTGATGTTTTAAATTTGTAAACAAACATGATAAGTGCTTCTGCGATCAACTGTGCTCATAGGCGCTATATATGTGGTTGTTAAAATGAATAAATTATTGTTCAATTTAGATTTATAAATTGATTGCAAGTAAACAATTTTCAGATTTCTTAAAGATTCTAGATTTACAAATTATATAAATTAACCCCAGGTAGACAATTTACAGATTTCCTAAAGATTCTCAAAAAACAAAGTTATGGCCTGAGTTCATGCAACAAACAAATTGTGAGCCAAAATATCCTAATTTTTTGTATTCACGCCATTTTAAAGCAGATTCTTTGATCGAACCTCAAAACCAAGAATAAGACTTCTACCAACAGCTGTTCCAACAATAAAAGTGGTCCGGTTGAAGTATATAAGTAAATAAATTCTTTAATTACTATATCGATGTGCCGTTTTTTTTTTTCGTATAATAGAAGTTTATTGTATGAATGTGATGTACCCTATATAATTTATTACAAAGTTATTTACAAAAACGAACATAAATAGAATTAATAATATCTCAAGTAATTAAATAAGTAGCATATCGCATGCCTCAAGATACTGTCTTAGGTCCTATTTTGTTTAATTTTATTTTAAATAATTTGTCGTTTAAATACAGATGGAAATATTGTGAGTTTTTCACACGACACAGTTATTTTGTAAAATGCAGAGAACATCACACTAATATAGCGTAATAATTATTAATATCCAAACTGCTTATTTAAAAGGAAGTTGGATTATTTTATCCTCACACATGAGTGATTTTTTCCAAGGTCTACTTTATGCATACATTTTTTGTGGATCACTTCATATTATTCAGTATACAGTGTGACCCATTTAGATTGAAAATATCTTTTTAAAATTTGAAGTTATTTACGGATTTAAACCAATTTAATAAAAGATCTATTTTGGAACAAAATTTAAAATATACGGTAGGTACTTTTCCTTAGTCAAAAACGAAAAATTACTACGCCATTGGATTTAGAGTGCCTCCTAAAAGTTGTAACTCAAATTTAATAAAAATGTAGTGATTAATAAAGTCAAAAACATAAATAAGATAACAGCCACAAAAAAACACCCGGTATCAAAGGATGTCCATGGAAATTATTATTTTTTAAATAATTGTAGCAATAAACCACCACACTCGATTTAAAAAAATGTTTAAAATAGCATAAACAGTTAATGAAAGTAATTAGAATTATAACTTTACACTCAAAACTTGGTTGAAATCGGTTAATACCTTCAAAATTTTGGAAGGGCGTTTCCAATTTAAATGGGTCACACTGTATGTATTGCCCGATATTAATAAAATGACCTGTACAACTTATACACATACATAAAGGTCAACAAGTAACTGATCAAAATGTGATAAACATAATTAAAAATTAGTACATAATACATAGTCTAAAGATTATAATAAAATGTGCCGTCAACAGTTTCCATCTATAGTCCCTAATAGAATACCAACAACATTATATGTTTTATATTTTAGTAAAAAAAATAATAGAAAAAAGAAAAAAGCATCCCGAAAAAAATAGTTTCAAAATCCAAAACAAAATATGCATTGGCATAGGCAACATACAATACAATCCAGTAAAATGTGTTGCATATACTTTGCATCATTCAACATTCAGTTATTAAATATTCTAATTACATTCAATATTTTTAATTAATATTTTAAATTAAACTGGGAACTTTGAATAATAATTAGTGCTACAGTCAAAAAGATATTATGTATTATCAATTATCACATTAGAAAGCGTTAACCTACTCAAAAATAACTGTGAGTTATTAGATTAGCTGAAGTAGGTATTGTTTGTATTGGCACATTTAATTTTATTATTTATTATTGTTAATATGTAATAGAAAATGGAAATTATTTTACCAAAGTTGAATTTTTGTGGACTGCTGCATTGATCTTGTAGAATAAAACGGAAGTATACTCAATAGAAACAGATAAATATTATTCACAAAGTTACATGTTGTTTACATCGATTATATTATAATTCAATTGACCATTGACTCACTCAACACTTACGTGAATTTTGACTAAGTTAATGATGCAATTTCTTAATACAGGGTGACTCAAAAATTAAGTATGTTTTTCTACCTATTTATCTTAACCAATAAAAAAAAAATTAACATGAATTATTGTAAATTAGTATAAAATGATTGTACTCGTATTAATAAATTTTATTTCTTACATTTAAATACAAAACAAAAAATTACTCACCGTTTGTCGATGTTAATTTCACAAATGCCAATCGAGCAATAAACAACAATAACAACATAGGTGTACCTAGTGCTTAGTGTAAGTAGTGAATAAATTATAATTTTATAACTATAGGATGTATAAACACACACAAAACGTTTTTGGTTTATCAATTAATTGCTAATCTACGAACAAGCACAAAAACTTCCGTTTTATATTTTATTCAACGTGACTAATTTTAATTAAAATGTTTTATTATCAATAAACAACAAGCACGTTTCGGCGAAAAAGTATAAAATGGATAAGTAGGTAGGTATTTTTAGTTTAGTTATTACTGAAATAATATTTCTATCAGGTATTTTATCGTTTATTACGAATTTTATAAATACCTACATTGATTGGCACACTGTGATAAAATTAAAAGAGATAAACTAATATTGATACTAGAGTGGTGCACCATTTTGAACACCAATCATTGTGGAAATGTTTAGAAACGTGTCAAATTGCCAAATTTTTAAATTACCCAATAAATATTTTGTGTTACTCTCCAATTGTAATGATGGCCATTTAACTTTTAAAATTGAGAGGCCGGTCACTACGGCCGATAGTCGGGCCGAAGTCACTTACCCAGACAACACACCAAATCCCAGAGATAAAAAATAATGCTCAGGATGTGAAATATACTCCAATTCCTTAAACCTCAACACAAAATGGGCTGTGAGCAATAGTGTTAATGTAGTTCAAACCGAGCTCACGAAGGTTCTCATAGCAGTGAAAGAAATTACCAGAAACAATATCATTGTTAGGAACATGCTCATCTATACAGATAACAGATAAGCACTACTTACCCTGAACAGACTACGAATTTACTCAGGGTTAGTACTAGAATGTCACGAAGCTTTGACAAGAGCATTCATCCAACAATGTGGTCACCTTAATATGGATCAAAGATGACGCCACATCGAAAGGTAGCCTTCTTGCTGACTCACTAGCCAAGAAGGCAGCCAACCAAATACTTTTTGGACCTGGCCCTTCTATTGGACTGACAATATCGGTAGTGACAGACCTAATTAAAGAATATTTCCTTGTGAAATTGAAGGAAAGATGGGATGAAACAAGAAACTGCAGAGTTACCAGGGAGCTTTTAAGTTATTCTGACAACACTAGACCAAACAAATACTTGAGTATGACTAGACAAAATCTGCATTTGATCACAGGCATTCTAACTGGTCATTGTTAAGTACGGAAGCATCTCCCTATAATCGGGCTGTCAGAATCTGCACCCTGGTGCGAACAAAAAGATGAGACCATTGAGCATATCCTCTACGATTGCCCGTCGCTCTCATTTATTAGAAGATTTGTTTTCGGCGAGTATTGGCTAACACAGGCCGATATAAGAGAAGCACCTCTTGGTGACATTAACTACAATAAATCTGTAGGCTGGCTCAAGAGCTAGGAGGTGCCTATCATCTTAAGAGAATACACAATGAGCCTAGTGAGGACTAAGTGCCGTGGAGTAACCCATCCTCCACATGTTTCATATCCAGAAGTACTGTCGGTAGCTGTAACTGCATTTTGATTGCATTCTGATAGCAGCGAGTTGGTTCCACGAAGTGAGTTTGTCATATATTTTAATTGAAGTGGTTTGGTCGAAAACCGTACATGTCCAAAATCAGCCTTCCGAGAAAAACAATGAAAACCTTTCAACGTTGAAACTACTTAACATTGACTATCTTCATGCATAGAAAAGTTTTAGATCTCGTGGTTTTGCAAAGTATTTTTAATGGTAGTTTTTCAGAAAATAAAATGGACTACCAATGACAGATACAAATGAAATATGGACTTGTACGGGTTTTGAACTCAACTCTGTAAATAAAAAGAAACAGGTGAACATTTTTTGATTTATTTAATATTTATTCAAAAAGGAGGAAAAATACAATATCAAAACTGTTATCTCAGTCATCTAATCAGCATTTTCAGTATTTGTGGTTTTCCAACTGACCATAGCAACTGACCATTATTTTCTTGTTCAGATGAAAAACCGTACGAGTTACGGATGGCTATCTTACTTTGAAATGTCAAATTTTTAACTAGTAGGGTTTTCGAACTCACCGATTCAATTATTGTTTTGTATTACTGTCTATTAACTGTTTTAATTCGAATGGTTTGAAAAACAAAAACATAACATATTTAAATAAAAGACTAAATATAATTAAACGATGCATAATACGTATGCGTAAATTATCATTAGTGATTTAGAAATAAAAAAAAAAACATTTACAGTTAGATGCAAAAACGTTCAATAAAATTTACGAACACCGCAATGTTTTTTTTTTTTCATGTAAAGGCTGTATGTCACGATACTGAATTAAGTACTAAATTTAGAACTAAATTAATGCATTTTTTAAGTACTAAAAAAATTCACGTTGCAAACAGCAAATTTAGTACTAAATTTAGTACTAAAAAAAGTCATTAATTAATTAGATCTTGTTCTATTTTCTACTAAATTTAGTACTAAAAGTGCGCCGAAATGTTGCGCAGAAGTTTTTCATAGAAAAAGTTGACACGACGGTATTTTCTGTACCCTTTTATTTTTAATTAGCCACAATTTCACATTATCGCCTTGAATAAAGTTCGCCTGTTTGATTTTGTAGGTTTTATTGTGTTTTTCCGTGGTTTTTATGCTGTATTTGGTTGTCAAGTCAACTAGTATCAAATTGATAATAAAAACACCATTTACTTCACTTGTCTGTTTTACACAGAATATTTCATTTCTCTACTAATTTCACATATTAATACGTCAATGCGCGTGCGCCCATAGTAAATTTAGTACTAAAAATTGGTGTCGTTGCAAACGGAAAAAAAATATTTTTAGTTCTAAATTTAGTACTAAATTAATGACTTAATTTAGTGCTAAATTTAGTACTTAATTTAGTATCGTGACATACAGCCTTTATACAAACTTTAAAAATATCTAATTTCTAATTACTAGTTACTTGCAATTTTCACAAAACGTTAATAATAATATACCAAACGTTGCTCTACATAAATTGACAGCTATATTTGACGTTAAACCACAGAATAACCACTATTAGGCATTCCAAACAAATGAATTACCAGTGGGCAGGTTTGGTATATCTAAGGGTGGCGACATATGGTGTATTATATCTACTTTACGTAAAATCATGAATAATGGATTACATTTAAATATTTTATGTCCAAACACAATAAAAGTAATATTTAAAAAACCCACCTATACATTTCTTCATAAATTGGCAGGCTTGGCGAGTACTACTTCGAATAAAAATAGCGTCCAAGTTGCAAGACTATGTCGCTACCCCCTTAAATATACAAGAATTTCCCACTGGCACCTATTGTTTGACAGGTCGTTGGAATGCCTAATTACAGAAATGAAGGCTTGCGTCGGCACGTTTGATGTCGGGGTGGCCAAAATTTAAAGTGACACTCGCTGACAGTTGACGTTCTTGCCGGTTGTTACACTGGTAAAAATTACCAAGATTCTTATAAATTCGGATAATACACTGAGAAAAGGATTTAAATATATGTAACAAACTTATTTAGCAACATCCACTATTTCTTCTCTGAATTGAAGGTTAGTGATATAATTAGAAAAAATAAGGCTTCACAATAATTTATTTTGAAGTAAATTGTACTGATCGCTATACTAAAAAAGAGTTTTTACTTAAGGAACCAGACCGAATGCTCGTTGTACTTAATTCATCAGTTTTTTTTAGATAACATTAACTCTTTAACAGAGGGATTCTATTACAAATTATTGATGTATTAATTAATTGTATACTTTCGTGAAAAAAACCTTCAACTATGATAGTTGGATCTAGAAAAATAGATTAAACTGATAATAACTGGCATTAAAAATGCAAATAGTTCCGAACTGTCATTTTGAAAGCCTTTTATGTGTTTTAGAACCTTATCATATGTCAATAATACCATAAACAATCCTTGTATTAAGACTTTCGCCATATTCTTATTAATAATTTGACAACTCGATGGATGAATCTGTGATTTTTTACAATTCCATTTTTGTAAACAAAATTAATCTAGTAGTCGTTGGTAGAAAAGCATCACCAATAATTGGCGTATCGATTTATTACACTGTTTTACACTAGCACTAGCTCAAATGGCTTTTCTTTCGAGTCTTTTGTGCAGAGTTGTCCAGTAATTGCAGCACTTCATTAACGTGGGAGTGGAGTCGACCCTCATGTTTTGCAGTAACCTTTTTCTTATTTGTCTGTATGAAGATAATCGTTTAGATAGAGCCAGGGTGCATCAATGATACATCTTAGGACTTTATTTTGGAAAACTTATATTATGGCACATCCTCGTAGCTGTATTTCATAAATCCAGACGACTTAGGATTTGTTTATAAATCATATGAATTTGTTGTATACATAAATTTGCATTTTTAGATGCATAATTATTAGAACTATGAATTAAATTGAGATTTGAAGAAAAGTACTGTAGGAAATAGGTTGTTATAAATAAAACACGTACCCATACTGACTATTAATTTTAATAAACCAAAATACGAAAAACACATATTACAAAAATCAAATTAATAAAAATATCAATATGAAAAATACCTACACATCAAAAGGCACAAAATTTTAGACAAAGGAATATGCCCTAGGTCCTAAAAAATACAAGGTAAGCGCAAACTGCTTGTATTCATTGGAATGTCTTCCAGCTAGAGGCTTTTTGTTTTTAAATTCCGCTTGAGATTTAACTAATCTGCAAATGGTTGGTTTAAAAATTGTGGCCCAACCGAAGGATATTTTTGGGACTGGCACATGCATTATCAAAATAGAAACAACAATATCTCTTCAATCTTCAAAGTTAGTCATTCTTTTGCTGGGACCTAAAAAAAATATTTAAATTAAAAAAATACATAAAAACAACACTTTTATATTATTTTTAATATCTGGTGTACTGAGAAAATCGTCGTGGGATTTAGTAGGGTACAGATTCATTCAGAATGATCAATTATTTCATTTGTTGTGTGTGTCAGAATATTGTCAAAAGTACATTTTCAAATAAACATTTCCGAGTTGATCCAAATGAAAAATTACTGGGCTGGAAATGTTTTTTACACAACTGGTAGCTTTTGTGTAATTATTCACTGGTCATATTAATCAAGTCTTCTCGACTACAGGCTCTTA